GTTATTGTAATTATGTTATTTTTAAGGTAAAACTTTTTTTGTTTTTACATAAACCTTTTATCATTATTGTTATTAGTAAATGTAATATTTATTTTAAAAAGTAATTTTTCTCGATGAGATCTACAACCTCTATAACTATACTCCATAACATTTTGAGTAGAAACACCCTGTATTATACAGGGTGTTTTTACACAGGCTGTATATATTACTAAATAACAAAATCAATATTTCTTACCTTATAGGCATACTTTCGATGTAATATCCCTTGTTTCTTATACAAATCCATTAATTCCTTCATGAATTCAAGAGTTACCTTCCCATCTTCTAACTCAGGGCCTTTATATTCACTTTCAATAGCTATTTTAATTAATAAAAATATATGTTAAACCTTATATTTATTTCAATATTAATAAATAATTATATATAATTTTTACTTACTCATTACATCTAAGTTAATGGTATCAGCTATATTTTTCTTGTTATCCTCCACTGATATAGCTTTTTCAAAAGCTATTTTTCTTACTATTTTATTGCATTCCATGTATTTGGATTTTGCATCCCTATCATTTGGTCTCACTTTTGTTACCTAAAAACAATATTTATTAAGTCTACAAAAATTAAAATAGCATAAAATTAAACGATTCCAATAAGAATGTAAATAATACTATTATTAATCTTACGTATTCAAAGTCTTTCAGAGCCTCCTTAAACTTTCCAAGGGACATATGTGCACCAGCTCTTCGGTAATAACCTTTAACGTAGCTTTTATCCAGCTCAATAGCTTTAGATGCATCGGTGAGAGCATATCCGAAACTTTCCGTTTTTAAGTGAGCAAAACTCCGATTTGCGTAGTAAATCGCCGAATTTGGATTCTCCTCAATCGCTTTGGTATACAACACAATAGCTGAATTGTAATCTTGTTCTAAAATTTTTTATAGGTTATGTATGTGTATTTGCTACGGTTTTGTCGTGTTAATTAGCGAAATATGCTTAATAATTACTTGTATCATCAAGATCAACGACTTAATTATACACAAAATTCACTCACTCTTAAAATGTTCATTTGCTTCGTTTTTAAATTTTTCCGCTTTAGTTACATCTTCCGTCGAGTTTTCTTTTTTAATTTCTTCGCTCATTTTCTTTTTAATTAATTAATTAATTCTAATTAATTATATTAATAACCTATTAACTAGTGTTGTCTTCGTTTCATTTAAAATTGGCAAGGTAAAAAATTAGAACTTTAGTAGAGCATTTTCACTTTTAAAAGATATCACTATATATTGCCAACCTTAAATCGGGCGCCAAATTATCAAAAATTCAAATTATAAACAACGTTTAAACTTTTAGAACGATTAAATTAAGAGTTTTTAACGTATTGTAAGTCACAATTTAAAACAATTAATTTAATATCAAAAATAATTAGGTTATTAAATTTTAAAACTTGAAGCGTTGAGACATGGAGCCTACATATATGTAGCCTATAGGCTCCATGCGTTGAGACTCAACGGTTGAGTCATGAAGCCTACACAGTGTATACACTGCCTATAGGCTCCATGCCATAGAAATAATACGAGTATTATTTCTATGCTCCATGCGTTGAGTGCTTAAAGTTTTTTTTTGGGAAATAAAAAATTTAATTTTACAGATTTCTGTTTGTTTATTATTTTTCGGTAATTTACAAATATCTCTTATGTGTTTTTATCGCCACTTATGTATATATACATGCAGGGCCGGATTTAGGCATGGGCCACATGGGCCCGGGCCCAGGGCGGCAAATTTTTAGGGGCGGCAAATTTTGAAGGCCAGTTAAAATTTTGCTAAAAAATCAAGAGCGTTTTATGCAGAATTTTTGTTTTCACTCAGATTTATACACTAATTAAAACTATAAAAAGTTGGAAGAGAAGTTTTTTAATACATTAGATAATTTTATATCAGACTACACTATTATTCTGCGTAGTGCGTCACTGCGTAGAAGGGCGGCAGTCGATGTACACGAGGCGAGTGGGGCGCGACTCTAGCTTATTCGCTGAGTCATTCGTTATTCGGGGTAATGATGCGTTGGGCCCATGGGCGGCAAATTCGTAAATCCGGCCCTGTATACATGTATACCGCTTATTCGCTATATTTTCTATAGGCACACCATAACTTTTACATTTTCCCATACAGCACAAGATGTCCATTGGACGTCAAATGGACTCACATTGGACGTTTGGATGTAAAATGGTCGTCCGCTGGACGTCCAATGGATATATGTGCTGTCTGGGTTCCCTATTGAGACCGATAGCAAATAACTTAATGAAGGATATATAGGGATAGGGATCCCTATAGAGCAACCATAAAACATTTGACAAAATTTTATTAAAACCTATGTGGTCCTATGGGGGAAAAACTAATTTCTACATTTATGTGTATTTTCCCCGTTGAAACCAATAGCAAATAAATCAAGGGTGGATATCCCTATTATCCCTTATCCCTTATTATTATTATTATTATTATTATTATTATAGAACAACCATAAATCCTAACTATAGGTCCTATACATACCGATACACCCTATAGAAACACCATACATTCCGACCCTGCTGAAAATGACAGAAGATTGCGGATATATATAAATTCTTCGTCAAAACCGGATAAAAGCAGATGATTGCGGGTATAAATTCTTCGTCGAAGCCGGATAAAAGCAGATAAAAGCGGGTAAAAATATCATCTAATAACATCTGCTTTTGTCCGCATCGCTATATCCGCAGTTGTGTTTTATGTCCGGTTAGTGCACTCCCGCAATTATCTGCAATCATCTGTTTTTAACCGTCTTCACTGTGTGTCGTTTATATCTGAATTTGTCCGGAATCATCTGCAAACGTCTGCTTACGTCTGGTTTTATCCGCGATTACCTGCATTTTTTGTTGTCTATTTTTGTCTGGTTTTATCTGCAAACGTCTGGTTTTATCCGCGAGCATATGCTTTTACCCGCAAACGTCTGCCTAGTCCAATTTCACCCGCAAACATATGCTTTTATCCGCCAACATCTGCTTTTAACCGCGACCATCTGGTTTCATCCGCGAAGATCTGCAATCACCCGCGAACAACTGCTTTTATCCGCGAACATCTGCAATCACCCGCGAACATCTGCTTTTACCCGCGAACGTCTGCTTTCATACGGTTTCACCCGCAAACATGCTTTTATCTGCGAACGCCTGATATCATCCGGTTATAACACTATAGTGCACCCCCGCATTCACCCGCAAACATCTGCTTTTATCCGCGAACATCTGCAATCATCCGCGAACATCTGCTTTCATCCGCGAACATCTGATTTTATCCGCCAACATCTGGTTTTATCCGCGAACATCTGATTTCATCCGCGAACATCTGCAGTCACCCGCGAACAACTGCTTTTATCCGCGAACATCTGCAATTACCCGCAAACATCTGCAATCACCCGCGAACATCTGCAATCACCCGCGAACATCTGCTTTCATCCGCAAACGTCTGGTTTTATCCGCAAACATCTGCTTTCATACGGTTTCACCCGCACACATGCTTTTATCTGCGAACGCCTGATTTCATCCGGTTAGTGCACCCTCGCAAACATCTGCTTTTATCCGCCAACATCTCATTTTATCCGCGAACATCTGTAATCACCCGCGAACATCTGCTTTCATCCGCGAACATCTCATTTTATCCGCGAACATCTGCAATCATCCGCGAACATCTGCTTTTATCCGCAACCATCTCATTTTATCCGCGAACATCTGCTTTTATCTGCAAACATCTGCTTTCATCCGCAAACATTTGCTTTTATCCGCAAAAATCTCATTTTATCCGCGAACATCTGATTTTATACGCAAACATCTGCTTTTATCCGCGAACGCCTCCTTTAAACCTCTGCTTTCATCCGCGTTCGCTTTGCCTGCATTTCCTTTGTCCATTTCGGTCCTGTTTCGTACGCAAACGTCTGGTTTCATTCGCGTTTTTTTTTCCTTTTTCTCGTGTATACTTTAGTTTAGTTTACCTGCTATGTCAAATTTTACTGAGCTTTAACTAACTGGTTGTCAGCATAATATGAACTTCATAGCCATCCAAAAAATACATGCCTGGTTATAATTATCGTATACTTTATTTATTATTATAAAATATGTTATATATTTTTCAAACACTTATTTTGTAATTCTTATAATATGAAAAAATACTATTCTTTGGTAAGAAAAGAACAATTTTCTAATAGTCAGCCCACAAATTTCTGATGTCAGCCACTGTCATTCTAGTAATCAGCCACCACCTTTTACGCTTGCAAGATAAGTTTTTATTCATCTTCACGAAGCAGACAAGAAATGCAAATAAATTCTGCTTCTTTAATATCTTCATATATGCATATATGCATAATCAGAACCTTGAAAGGGTGTGCACTTTAAATGGAACCATTTAGGGCATTTGTCACAACCAATGTTTTTCATGTCATTGTCTTCAGCATCACTGTCTAAATCTGAGTTACAATCACAACATTTTTCTTTCTTCTTGAATGTCGATATGGGATATTCATTAGGATATGATAAGGGACTGCCACTGGACTTCTGAATTTTCTTCGTAGATTCCAGGTTTTCTTTAATTTGCTTTTTCCTTTTAGATGTTTTCTCTTTCTCTGTTGCTCGTTTTAGCCTTTCTTCCTTCCTTTTAACCTTTTCTTTTTCCGCCTGTTCTTTAGCATCTTCCTTGGCTTGAAGATGATTTCTAAATTCAACAGAGGAAATAGCAGCCGGTAATTTTGCTTTTGTTTTTCCTTCACTTTTTTTTGGAAGGCTGGGATAGAATAAATGTTTTCTGAAGGGGTCGTTATTTTCACAAAGCTGACACTTTTTGTTTTTTTGATATCCATACTTACATTTTCCTTATTCGCCAGGTTAGCACTTTGTAGGGTAATGTTCTGTAACACTATGATTTTGTTATTGGGTTCTTCCACGATTTCAGTTTGATTTCTCATCAATATCAATAATGTAATATTACATGATATCAGTCTTCATTTCAGTTTCATTTGGCTCAATATGACCAATCACAGTTTCGTTTGGCTTAATATCATTATCAATCACAGTTTTATTTGACTCAATATCATGATCAATCACAGTTTTATGTGTATTAATATAATTATCAATCAAAGTTTTATTTGACTCAATATTATGATCAATCACAGTTTTATTTAAATAAACAAATGTTTCCATTTTATTTAAAATATCGTAAGAAGTTTCTTCAAGTGTAGATCCAAGGTCTACTTCCTTTAATTCTTCACGCTTGTCTATCGCATTCGACTCCATTTTTGTTGCAGTTTCAATGTTTATTAGCCCCTTATGAAACTCTTGTTCTAAATTACCATTTGGAAATTCAACAAAATCAAATTCATAAACGTCGCTGTTGAAAAACACATCTTCGTTCTGTAGTACATTGTCGTCCGCCTCGTTTAGCACACCGTCAGCTCCTATAGGAGTATACTTCAAAGATTGTTACATTTGAATACAATTCCTGTTTTATTTGCGCCAACTTTTCAATCACATCTTCTATATTTGCAATAACTTTATCCCGAAGCTTCCCTTTTAGATTCGTCAGACATACTTAAGTAGACTCAAACTGTTCTTCTGATATGTCAAAGCCCGGTTTGTCTTGACGGTTCAGTATTTCAATACGGTTTTGAACACACTTGGAGAAATCTACAGCTTCGGCCGGGATTAAATGGAAATAGTCCACACTTCCTGAAGCCGTTTTTAATAGTCTGGGGCAATGATTCATATTTTAATACTTGTTCTAATAAAGGACAGAATGTACATTTGGTTAAGACACAGTTAATATTTTCTGGCTTTGCTTGCCACTCTCTCACAGTCTTTTTCCAGTTGGTTTTCAAAGGCTTAAACACGCTAACATCTGCAGGTTGCATGAGGTGTGTTGTATTTGGAGGAAGGGCATATTTATATAAAATGATTTATGACCATCGACGACAAGTAATACCGGCCTAATAAGGTCATTTTTATTAAGTCCATTGGCTATGTACTAATAAAATGTATCACTTTTCATCCAACCGCTTTCAGATCGACCTAAAAACCCTCTGGATGGCACACTATTCGCTATTACTTTGTTGTAATTTTTTGGGTGGTAGGAGGGGGGCGGAAATGGTTGATGGATAAATACCAGTAAAGCGTGAAGTTGTCATAAAAAATATGGCTTGTAATCGATAGACATATTTTTAAAACATGATTCACATATTTAGGAAAATTTTAGGGTTCACGGAATTTCGGGGGGGGCCCGGGCCCGTCGGGCCCTACGGCTGGCTACGGGCCTGACCGTTAGAGTTTCTAGAAAGCTTTTGCACTTCCTTTTTTGATTTCGGAAATATTCTTGTATCCTTTTGGTACCAGAACTTTTCCTGATTTGGGGCACATTGCAAAGCTGGTTTCGTCTCCGTTAAAAATGCGAGAAGGGTCTTCCAAAATATCTAACGAATTAGATTGCTCTAGGAACTGTGTTAATTCGCGAAACCATTTTCTTATTGATTCCTCGGTAATAATACTTCTTGCCTTTGAAAGACCTTCAGCTTCCCTTAATGATAACTTTTTTTGTCGATTGATAAAACCTTGATACCAGTTTTGACCCGGTTTATTCTGTTTAAAGGGATTTTTTTGTTTTTATCAGTAACAAGTTTTTGCACAGTATTGAAGAGATCCTGCTTCTTTTGGGGAAATCCACATTTTGCAAGGTCGCCAAGCCAGTTTTCCAATGCATCTTCCTCGCTTTTTGTGAGAATTGTATCAAAAAAAATTTATAAATCATAATTAACTATATGTTTGTCATTTACCTGAGATGTTTAAATAATGGTTTGAAATTTCTGTTTAAGTTAATTTGTGAATTCAAGCACTGTTCAGCATAAAATTTCCCAAAGAATCTATACCAGGATTATTTTTTTTAATTCAAAAATTCGTATGTTTGAAAGCTTTGAAAAGTGTAAAAAATCACTAAAACTGCAATTTTGGTGATTTTTTACACTTTTCAAAGCTTTCAAACATACGAATTTTTGAATTAAAAAAAATAATTCTGGTATAGATCCTTGGGAAATTTTATGCTCTACAAGAATCCGCGACGTAAAAAATTTTATCTCAAACGGTTCAAAGGTTATAGTCTTTTTAATGAAAAAAGATTTTTTTACGTGTTATTTCAATGGAAAACTTAAAATGCTCACCGACACCTTTTAAAATTGAGCAAAAAATTTTGCCTTGCAGGGAAATTTTTTGCTCGGTATGTAGGTTCATTTTAACCCATAAATCCGATAGGTTAGTTTTTTTGGCTCACCCTAATAAGTAGGGTGTCCAACCGTCCTGGTTTACCCATGGGTCTTGCAAGACAGGTTCTGGTTTTTGCAAATGTGTCCTGGTTTTAATTGTGTACTGATTTTGTCCTGGTTTTGCAGATTTGGTCCTGGTTTATACTATTTTTTTTATTATTGACATTATTAGCGATTTTTTTAAGTGGTCGGGGCTCATGTTACAAATTAATTTAAAAAATCCAAAACTTTGGAAGTAGGTACATTTAGAAGAGAAAAAAAGTAAGAAAAAACCTCGTTTGGATAAAAATTATAAAAAATTATAACTTTTTCTCACTTTTTTAGGATTAGTCCTTTTACTTTTTTAAAAAGTGATCAGTGCTCAGGGTAAACATTAATTTACAAACCTTCAGCATAGTAAAAATTAAGAAAAAAACTCGTTTGAATTTTTTTTAAATTATGAGTTTTTTTTTACTTTTTTAGGATTTGTTCAAATTTTTGTGGTCGGGACTTGGATTAAAAATTAATTTAAAAATCTAAAAATTTGGAAGTACATTTATAAGTGTAAAAAAGTAAGAAAAAACCTCGTTTGATTTTTTTTTTAATTATGAGTTTTTTCACTTTTTTATGATTTGTTCGGCCTAGGTTAAAAATTAATTTACAAATATGAATTTTTTAGAGTACCTTCAAAATAGTAAAATAATAAGAAACAACCTCGTTTGATTTTTTTTTAATTTTTAGTTTTCTCCACTTTTTTAGGATTTTTTCTATTTAAAAAAAAAGTGGTCGGGGCTCAGGTTAAAAATTAATTTACAAATCTGAATTTCTAAAAGTACCTTCAGGATAGTAAAAAAGTAAGAAAAAACACGTTTGAATTTTTTTTAATTATGAGTTTTTCCCACTTTTTTATGATTTGTTCTATTTTTTTTAAGTGATCGGGGCTCAGGTTAAAAACTAAATTACAAATCTGAATTTTTTAGAGTACCTTAAGGATAGTAAAAAAGTAAGAAAAAACCTCGTTTGAATTTTTTTTTAATTATGAGTTTTTTCACTTTTTTAGGATTTGTTCTATTTTTTTTATTAAATGTGGTCGGGGCTCAGGTTCAAAATTAATTTAAAAATCTGAGTACCTTCAGGATATTTTTTTACTATAGTAAAAAAATATCAATATATTGACATTTTTCAAATAATAAAATAAAATAAATTTTGTTTATTTTTTGGAAGGGCGAGGAGGGGAATGTTGTGTCCTTGTTTTTTATTTTAGAAAGTTGGTCACCTTATGCATAAGTTCTTACTAATAATAAAAATTATATCACAATTGTATCGGAAACCCGCTTCAAAAGTGTCCAGTAAAAAAAGTTTTTTTCACTTTTGACACTTTAAAGCGGGCATGCGTTATTATTACCTGTATAAATTTTGTTATAATAATAATAATAATAATAATAATAATTCATTTATTTGCCCAACGGAGTAAAACTCCAATAACAGAACAAAAATATAAATAAGGTTTACATTTCATTTACTAAAAATAAAACTACCTAATACTAAACTACAAAAAAATTAAAAATAAGTCCTTGCCACCCTAATAATAACATTTAAACTAGTAAAAAACAAATCACAGTCATGACTAATACAGTTATAATTTCTTGACATGGTAAACACTGGTGATTTAATTAAGGTTATTGTTCGTGCATTGTCAGAGTAGAACATATCACTAGATCGAGAATTAGATCTGGGTACATGAATATTAAATAGAAATAAAATATTGGCCGAATCAATTTGGTTATTGAAAAGCTTAAATAAGAATTTAAGACCGGAACAAGCTCTCCTGCATTGTAGGGAATCCATATTAAAGCGATCTAACAAAAGTTGATGATTTATACCTCTAGCGGGGAAAATGTTATCTAAACGAAAAGCGAGTAATTTAAGAAATTTACGCTGAACATTTTCGAGCATGTCAATATAATTGTTATAGTAGGGACTCCATACAATGGAACAATACTCTAGTTTTGATCGAACGATGCAAAAATATAAAGATATCAAAGCGAATTGATTTGAAAATCCGATAGAGTTTCTGCTAATAAAACCTAATAACTTGTAACTACTAAAGGGTGTCCACTTAAGAGCGCTATAACTTTAAAATGAAATAAAACAAACTACACTTAAGATATTATGAAAAAAATATATTTATTTAAAAGAACATCCTATGGCATTAATTATGAAAAATAACATCTTTCAAATGCCCCCCACGGCTGCGCTCCACAGCGCGCATTCTGCAGGTCAAATTTTCTATCACTTTTTCGCATATTTCGGGTTCGATTTCATTTATTATACGAATAATGTTGGCCTTTAGTGCTTTAATTGTTTGTGGCTTATTCACGTACACAAGGGACTTTACGTAGCCCCACAAAAAAAGTCCAGCGGCGTTAGATCGGATGATGTTGTTGGCAACTGGATATCGCCGCCGCGTGAAATGACGCCGTTGAAACGTTTGGCGAATTAAACATTGATTTTGTTGGTAAATTTGAATAATTTGAATACGTTGAGCAACCGTGTAACGCTCCATTATCAAATGTGCCAACAAAACTTCAAAATATTTGACAGCTGTGTCTGTACTGACTTAGCCATAGCCGCCTATCAAACATCGAGCGTACCTAATTGGACACCCTTTAGAAACAACACGATTGACATGATCAGTAAATGACAACTTGCTATCAAAAGTAACGCCTAAATCATCAACACATTGAGTTAGCTGTAAGTTAACGTTATTAATTTGATAATTAAAAGTAAATTTTGTTATCTTTAGAGTATAGGAACAGTATTTGCATTTTTTAATATTAAGTTTGAGTTTGTTGAAAATGCACCAATCATACACCCGATTTAGGTCAGTTTGTAGAGATAGGCATTCATTCATTGAATCGACTTTGGCAAATAATTTTAGGTCATCAGCAAAAAGTAAATGTTGGCAATTAATTACCAATGACAAATCGTTAATAAAAATATTAAACAATAAGCGCCCTAGATTAGAGCCTTGAGGGACTCCAGAAGTCGACACAAAGAAATCAGACCTAAAGCCATTGTAGGTTACAAAGAGCTTACGGTTAACAAGGTAGGAATGCATAAGGGATACTAGAGAGCAACTTAGGCCAATTGATGAGAGATTGATTAATAATAATTCATGATCCACCTTGTCAAAAGCCTTGGAAAAGTCCGTGTAGATGACATCCACTTGGCCTCTGTTATCAATATTATTAGAGACATATTGAGTGAACTCGATTAGATTAGTAACAGTGGAGCGCTTATGCATAAAACCATGTTGGTGAGGTGAAATAGATTGACAAACGCCATTGTAGATGCATGCATACAGGGTCTTCTCAAAAACCTTAGACAAGTTGGATAGAATAGCTATAGGTCTGTAATTACCTATGTCACTGGGATCACCATTCTTAAATATTGGAGAAATTTTAGTGATCTTCCAAATTTCTGGAAATTTTGAGGTTTTAAGAATAAGATTAAAAATAGTGTGAAGTGGTTTAATCAAGATCTGCGCACAATCTTTTATAAAAAAGCTAGGAATGTGATCATGACCAGAACAAGAATTATTTTTTAAAAGTTTAATGGATTTTAAAATGTCATCTTCATTAAAAGAATTTAAAGCTATACAATTCGGACTAGACATATACGTAGGTAAATTAGCAGCACTGGGATATTCATAAACGCTCTCAAAATATTTGGCAAAGCCATTGACTATTTGACTAGCATCATCATAGTTGTTATCTTCAAAATGCATATTTAAGGGAATTCTGGAAGTACCTTTTTTTGATTGGACATAACGCCAAAAGCTCTTAGGGTCTGTTTTAAATTCGGATTCAATAGAGTTAAGATAAATTTTGTACGCTATTGTAATTTTGTTTTTAACTATGCATCTTAGACGTTTAAATTCATCAAAGTAGAAGGCACTATTTAGCTTTTTATATTTCCTATGATAATAGTTTTTTAATTTAATATTATTAATTATTTCATTGGTGTACCAACAGGGGTAGGAAGTTTTATTGTTTTTATATAGTGGAACAAGGAATAAAGTATTTTGTTGAAACTATCAACTGCAAGATCTGGTTCTGAATTGCTATCAATATGACTCCAATCAACATTACACAAAGCTTGATATAGTCCAATAAAATTGGATTTCCTAAAATTGTAAGATTTGTTAAGTTTATTAATTGGAAATTTAAAAAACTCATCAGAGCACAAATCAAGATTAATGTTAATAGCAGGGTGATGTAGATCCTCATTTAACAAGGGTAGATGTTCTTTAGTTACAGTACAGTTAATGTCAGATATACAAAGATCTAAAAGTCTGTTGTTAACATTATTTATGTGGTTAAACTGAGAGAACAAGTTAACATTTAAAAAATTTGTTAAAATTCGGGTTTTAAAGTCATTAACATTATTACATCTAAAGTATGTTGAATTAAAGTCACCCAAAATAACCACATTTTTTAAGCTTATCACTACTGATTCAAAGCAGTCAAAGAAATTTTGTTACCTTTCAAATTAAAAAAAATGTAAAATTAGGTCTAGCGTAAGTTAAGTAAATTTAATTTAATAAAAAATATTTTGAAAAATAAGAAGGTAGGAAATTAATTGTTGCTTAAAATATGTTACATTAGTATTAAAAGCGCTTACTTCCAATTTAACTTTTTCTTAACATTTGTTACTCTTAATAATTGCAACCAGACCGTCCCTATATTTATAAATTTTCGAATATAACGTGAATTTGCAGTGTAAATAACATTCCAACCCAGGTACCCGCCAGCTTTAGGTTCGCACATGACGTCACACGGTGCGAGATAGATAGCTGTATGTATGTATAACATTCGCATCAGCATACAGATTTTTGTGTATCGTGTACAAAATCATTAATTCTATTACTTTTAAAGGTAGTGTATTTGCATAATTTTGTTGTTTAATTAATCTTTAAAATACTATCGACTTTATTGATTTGATAGCTTGATTTTTGCGGAAAACTAAGGAGAAAAGTAAAATACAGGTATAAAAGCAATTAGGATTTAGAATGTGGCTGTTGTGTCTGAAAGGGCTTCAGAGACGTTCTCGAAGGATTTAGATTAATTGACTCAGCAGGATGATGCCTTTCGACGGTCACTAAACGGGATTACTGTCCCGAAATCCCCCTGCAAAATAGAAAAAAAGCTGCAGACAGAAGCTAATATTTTACACTTTTGTGAGCTTTTCCACTCCTTCAAAAATAAAATTGTTTATAAAAAATAACGATTAGTTAAATTGTTTTTTTGAACAGTGTACTGTACAAATACAAAGGATACAAATTACCTTTAAGGATGCTTCACAGTGTCCACTTCAATAAATTTGGGTCTTTTTTGTGGCTGACCACTTCGTTAGTTCTTTTTGAGGGTGTTTTTCTTTGACGCGCTATTTTTACTGAAACTGTCTTTACTTTTATTAACGATGTTTTGTTTATTGCACAAAAAAAAAACTTTAAAAAGATTTAACAAATCCAGTAGCCAGTCCAAACGAGTGTTTTTGTTTAAACATAACGTCGGTATTTCAAATTCTTATGTTTGTATCAAAAAATTTGAATTTTTTAACGGTTTATAAATGACTTTAGCTGGTAAATTAAGTATGATTAGTGAATTTATTGTGTTTTAGTGCTTTTCGAGGTTTGTGTTAAAGGGTAAGTTCTATTTTAATTTATTATATGCTAAAAACATGATAAACTAAAATAAGTACCAGCCTTTGACTAAGCTACAAACCAAAATGTCAACCATTTTTTGTAACTTTTAAAACTACAAGATAACTTTTTAGTTTTTTATTACAAAAAAATAACAATGCAATCAGATGAATTAACAGCTAATAAAAAATAAGTAACAAAATAACAATCATCAGTCAAATAAATAAAACGATCTAAAAATTAAGCGCTCAGTTCCAACCGTGACCGTGATGTTTTGGAACGTGATGGTACACGTGTTTGTAGACAGGAACGTGAACTGGGTAAGGTTTTTCCACGTATTTAATGTGATGCTTCTCGATCTCTACTTTGTATGGTTTTTCTACTTCAACCCTAACGATTTTCTCGACTTCGATGGGGACTTTTTTCTCGATTTCTTGAGGGACGAGCTTGTAGATTGGCACCGCGATTGGTTGTGGCACAGGGATGTGCACTGCGTAGGGTTGTGGGACGGGTACCTTGATTACTTGTGGAACAGGGATACCAACCGCGTGTGGTACAGGCACGCCGTATTTCTTAATAACCTCGACTGGGTAGGGTTTGGTGCGTTCGACGGTTGTTGTGGGGATGTTTACATGCTCTTCTACGTGCTTGCTCTCGAAATCGTGTCCTTGGAATTCCTGTTGTTTTTCTCCTTGACCGTATCCTTGAAATTGGTGACCTTGTCCCTGACCTTGCTGTCCGTAGTTGGAAGCTTCTTGGAACAAACCGTGAGCATGTTGAAGGGATTCCTGAATGCCGTGTTGGAATTCTTGTCCCTGCTTTTGCAGGTACTCTTGATGGGATTCTTGTTCCTGAGTCAGTGGTTGCCATTGTTGCTGTTGTTGTTCCTGCCATTCTTGCTGTTGTTGTGCCTGCTGTTGCTCGTGACCTTGTCCTGCTTCCTGTTGGCCGGAATTTACGTTGCTGTAACTTCCTGCAAATCCTGCATAGGAACTGCCCAGGAGCAACACCAAAATCGGAGCGGCGCCCTAAGAAAAAATATTTATATATAACTCAGCCATTCCACGTTACTCGGCAATTTTTGTAGCGTCCGTTATAATAAAAAATTGTAGTAAAACTTTAATTATTATGATTATTAGCTTAAGCTTAATTATTACAAGCATAATAAACATGTTTGCAATATTAAGTAATGCGATAGAATTTAATTTAATTACGGTAGCTTTAAGTCACAATTTTTTATCATTACGGAAGCTACAAAAATTCCGAGTAAGGTGGAATGGCTGAACTACCAAATAAGTAATGTTTTCTATTTTTAAATTTTAAAATACCATTGAGGATTAAAAAAAGTGCAGTATTACAATTATAGAGAAAAATTATGAAAAAGTGAAAAAAATCTATGAAAAAAATATTAATTAATATCTTTAAACAAAATACTTAAAAATCAAAAACCATTACATAAAAAATATTAAGTAAATAAATGTTTTAGAATATGATACAATAGAAAACACACAGTATTTTTTTTTATAAGATTCGAAATAAAAATATTAAACATTAACAAGATTATCAGATAAAACTAAAACTCAAAATAAATTGTTTAAAAAGAATTTTGTTTTAAATTTGTAGAAATAAAAAATTGTAAAATCAGAAAATTATAAAATTATTAATAATTGCAGAAATAAAATCAAGGAACAACAATTTAGTAATTCACTTAATAATCCATAAAAATGTAGTGAAAATAATGAATCACTAATAACATATGTATAATCCACACTCGAAGAAGAAAGTAAAAACCCCTTTGGGCACACTTTAATCACTTTAATCGTCGAAAGTTGTTATACAATCACAACAACAACTTATTATTAAATCACACAATTTTTCCCATCGGAAGTACTACTTACTAGAAATCTCATATCGTTATGTGTACGAAGAAAGTAAAACAAGAAACTGATGCCTTGGTTTGTCACGTCCATCGCTTTTATACTCGAGAAAAGGTGGAGTCATCTGAAAAATAGTGAAAGGTCTTGTTATATTTATTTTAATTTAGATTACAAAGATATATTTTTGTGGAATTATTTCATACTTAAATTATTAGAACTATTATCGTTATATTTGTTAAATTATATCGGTGAGATTTTTTGTGCAAAAATAGAATGCTTTTCATGGGGGAAAAAATCACTTAAAAATAATTGCTTGTATAGTAAGTACTTAATTATTTTAGGAGAAAGCAAATACAAATATATATATACATATATACAAATAATACGAATTTATAATTTGGCCAACAACAACAACAGTTAATTTTGTTACCCGGAGCCTTCCCATTTTTAACGTTATTTTATATAATATATATATTTTAAATTTTTCTATTTTATAAATTTTTAATATGTGAAAGTAAAGATTTGATTATTATAATTATAATTATAATAATATAACTTTATATTGCTAATACTTAATATTATTTGTTATTTCTGCGTGCGCTACTGATTACACAGCTTGCTGTCCGTGTAGGCAGTACAAATTCCTTTTGAACATCAAAAACGTGTCATGGAAGGAAAAGGATCAGAGTAACCTCAACGTTCGAACGTCCGTATTAAAGATGTCCTTTCTCTATTGTCATCTTTTATAAATTTAATCAAAACCACCTAGAGAAAATTATATTTCGGTTTTTGCTCAACATGTCGTCTGTGTCTTTTATGCTCTCATATTCCCTTTATAAAAGTTTTTTTTTTAATTTGTTTACGTTAATTAATTTTTGGTAAAATGTTTTACATAATTTGGTTTACATGGGCATTTTTTTTAATTTTAAATTTCAGTCTTTTTGGCAGACTTTCTTTGTTGCTCAGCGGCTTGCCGAACAAGTTATGTTTGAAAACAAGATAATTAAAAAATAAATGCCGATATACATAGATGTACATGTATACATTTTAATATCAAAATGAAGGTGGGAAATTGGTAAAAATTAAAATTCTCCCGATGATATTAAATAATAAAATACCTGTCTGTCAGCGCGTGTAAAATTCTCCCTTAATGACTCAAAGCTTTTGTTAATTGTCAAAGCATTAGCGATGCTATGCTCTGTACATGTTTATTACGTAAAACTGCAGCTAAATATTTCCTAACAGCCCTGATGATATGTTATGCATAAATTAATAAATTTCCTAAATTTAATTTAATTATTTGTCAGGTAAATCTTGCCAGCCTATAAAACTTTTATTAAAAATATTTTAAATTTCAAGAAAGTCTTGTAACGTTTTAGTAAAAATTTAAATGTAAAAGGCCACTGATAGGATTTTCGATATTTTACTTTTCACACTACTTTATTCAGACAAATTGAATTCACATCCAATTTTCCTTTTACAATAGACTCTCTAATAGTCTTGAATGATTCAATTTTTAAGGAAAATGCTTTTCAAGAATGTTATTTAATAATATAAGTAACTGCATAATAATATAATTATTTTATAGGGATTAAAAATGGTGAATGCGCGGGGCCCCAGTAGCACAAAGATATTGGCCCAATATTCGTTTTATATATTGGGCCAACATATCTTTCGTCAGATTTTTTCTAGCTTGGTCCAATATTGAAACCCAACATTGATACTATGATATATTGGATAATCATGTTACGCCAATATAGGGCCAACCTTGAAAAAATATTTTTAATGATATATTGGCGTAAAATGATATGCCAATATAGGACCAACCTTGGATAAATATTTTTAATGATATATTGGCTTAAAATGATATGCCAATATTGAACCGATCTTGGATAAATATGTTTAATGATATATTGGCGTAAAATTATATGCCAATATAGGACCAACATTGGATAAACATTGGCAAGATATATTAAATAACCATTTTATGCCAATATAGGGCCAACATCGGCTAAATAAATCCAATATTGGCCCCAGATAAAATATTGGGCATATATGCGCCCCATATAGGACCAATATTTTGTGCTACTGGGGGGTGGAAGCCCTAAATAATAATAATAATAATAAAAATAATAATATTTATATATATATATATATATATATACAGAGTGTGTGATTTAAGACCGCAACACCCCATTATTATGGAACGCGTTGACAGAATTTAATGTTTTTTTTCGACCGTGTTGAAAAGTTTTAAATTTTCTTTCTTTTAAGGCCTGCTAAAATCTGCTTAATGGGTCAAAATTTAAAGGACGACCATTAGTGGGTTCCAAAAAAGGCGATATTGTATAAAAAACGTCGAAAAATTGTAAAAAAACGTCGATATAAAAATTCTGTCCAAATCGCAACCATTAAGTTAAATTTAATAATAATAATAATAAATTTATTAACAGAAAGAAAAATCCATGATAAAATATAGAATATGTATAATGTTCATCGAGTTTTTCAGCATACTATATATTATTATTATTATTATAGGATTATATGTCATTTATATGTAAAAAAATGGCTTCTTTTACATAAAAATGACTAGTAATCCTTAAAGAGTATTAAATTTTCTACAAAAAATTTCATCGTTTTTATTTTATTTACTAAATGATTTTAAAAAAGAAAATTTCTAAAAATTACGCGTTTTTTTTTTAATTTTTAAACTAAACTATACTGCCCTACTATGGAGAAAGGCAGTAACTGCAAAAAAATGCAAAATGCGTTTTCTTGTGCTATGGTAAAGCTATGGACATTTTGTAACCGAATTCAACACAGAAATGCAGTCAAATATCTCATAAGTTAAAAAAATCAATGAAATACCTACTGCTTTTTATAAAAATGTAGTTTATGCTAATTTTCCACAAATTTCTTGTTAAGCAGTTACTGCCTTTCTCCATAGTAGGGCAGTATAGATGATAGGCCTAAAAATAAATAATAATAAATATTAACTTTATAGTAAATGTTCTACAAAATTGATTTTTTACAAATTTGTTGTAAATATAACTGTTATAGACCCACCACGTTTTATTTTTATGATTTTTTAATTGTAGTAGGTAAACTATTAATTATACCTAATCATATACGAGTATAATTATAGGTCAAAAAGTTCTAAAGAAATTGTATAGTACTATGCTCCACAGTGTGGAGTCCACATCCAAATGTCCCCACTTGACATTTAAAAACAAATAATTGAGGTTATGTATCTGTCAGTTTAACGCAAATCTCGTCTTATTTTCTTAAAATAATACAAAATATGTATTTTTCGCGCAAAAAAAACGACTTTATTGAAGATTTTGCCGACTGCTATAATTTTTATAAATTAGTTTTTAGTATTGAATATAAATTAACTAGTCGGCATTTACAAAATTCACGAACAAATAATCATTGGATACTTGGTGCACCCGGTACAATTTACTACAAAATTTGTCTTGTGTTAAAAACGACAAACAATCGTTTATTTATTTATTTTTTTTATTTAGAAAAAAATACATCTCAATGTGCCCTTTTGGGCCACTATATACAGATAATAAATATAAAAATGTATACATTTTTATGTATACATACCGTAAACACAGGTGGCTTTGGCTCACTTTCAAACTTAAGCTTAAAATTTTTGTGGGTTTAACAATCATAAACATTAAATTTTGTATACCAAAATTTGAGTCTTGAGTTGCTCTTTCATAATAACTATGCAGGAGCGTAGCGAGGGGGGGCGTGGGGGGGTGTCACACCACCCCTCTATTTTGTTTAGTCGGCATTTTCGACCATTTTGGTTTTTAGTCGGCAAAATTTCTTAAAAAAACATTTTAAAAAATTATAGTTTTTGCTTAACTGTTATAATTCACATTGTAAATTTCACAAAAAGAACATATTTAATTAGTTATCTTTTAATAGAGTCCCTAAAATAATAGGGACTATCTTTCATTATTACGTAGCGCCATCTATTAGCAAATTAAACACCGAACCGCTAAAAAATCTTCAAAACAACTAATTAACATCAGTCGGTAAGACTTAAACTGATATGTCAATAATTCATTTTAAAAAAGTGCAGTGTTAACACTAACAACTTATTATCTATAAATAAAAATATATAAACCTTTTTAACCTGTAAGTACATACCTAAGTATTTATCTACTCCTACATTGAAGAGCTGTGACTTTATGGCGTTTTAGTCACGGTCTGAAGTTAGCAATAGTGACTTTTGGGCATTTTAGTCACGGGCTGAAGTTAGCTTTATTATAAATTAGGGAAAAGTGAGGTTAATTTCGTTGACATTTGACACATGTCAAATATTTAACAAATAAGATTGGATTTAAATTCTTATTTGTGGACATCGTAGATATAGTATAGTATGCAACTCATTTTATAAACTTATCTAGACACTCGTTTTTATTAAACACTCGCTTGCAAGCTTCGCTCGTGCTTAATAAAACTCGTAACTAAAATTGCGTTTATAAAACTTGATACATAATATACCTACTATTAAATTAAAACATAACATTTTTTAATACTTAGGAGGCTGGTGGCAATTTCGGTATATGATTTGCTCGTCGTTGGGAATGATCTGTCTAGGACGCTGCGGTTTTTTTTAAATAATTTTAAATATGTAAAAAAACAAATGCTCTATTAATTAATAACTTAGGTTATTTGCTCGTCTTTATCTTATTTTTTTAATTGTTTATTTGTGTCCCCTAAATAAGAAAAAAATAATGCTTTTAGCAACAAATAATTTTTAAAATTGTAAAAAATTATACCTAGCCTAAGTCATTTCCTCGTGTCTGCCATTTAGGTTTTATGTTAAATTTTCTATATATATACTAAAAAAACATTTACCAGACGTCAAAGACGCTGCGTTTCTCTTTAATAATTAAAACTTACTCTTTTTGATTTTAATGCATATATCCCATATAAAAAAAATAGCAATATTGCCAATATTAATATTTAAATGTTTTACTATTGTTTTTAAAAATACTTATTATTTTTATACAATATTATTGTGTTTCAAAAAATTAATTTAAAATCATTTTTTTAATTTATAAAAAAAATATTCTTAAACCTTGTATTTTTAATTTAATT